AGGCTGTGGGGAGCCCCAGGAAGTTCTGCAGCCAGCTTGTGGCAGAAAAGGCATATTAGAGCCTAAGAGAGATGTCCTGAGAGGTCGGGGAGGACAGCCAGGCACAGGGAGCTCTCTGCAGGCGACCAGCATGGCCGGGCTGGAGGCATCAGGGATACTGTAGAGGAGGGACAGTAACTGGACTGGGTGTGACAGACAGTTTGTGCCTCAGCAAGCCAGATTCGGCCACCTGCTCTTGTTACGCCAACTAAAGCAGCCAAATTAATAGTAGAAACAGAAAACAGAGACTACTCAATATGGCCACACCAGGAAAAGGATCAAAGACATCCACTAGCATCCCAAGTCCATCTGTGGGGTCCAGATATGAGGTTAATGTTTAAGTGAAGGCCACAGTTATGCATATCTGAGGAGTCCAAGTCAAGCTGAGGTCCTACCTGCCATTAACCCATTGTTGCCTCTCCTGTAAGGTGGGTCTGACAAATTGCAAAGCTCTTTCCAAGAAGAAAACTTTTCACTCTTGCTAGCCCACGCTTCAGACTCTCTCTTCTCCCACACTGAGGTTACAAGGAATCCCAGAGTGCACTGTTTCAATAGTTTTGATAGCCAGAGTGAGAGCATGATGTCTCTTTAAACCATTTCTGTCACTGCTAAGAGGTTACAAGACCAAGATGTGAGGAGGAGGCAACCCTGCTGGGAACAAGTCCATAGCTCTGGAAGGCTCGAGGCTTGCCTCCCACTGGCCATCTCCTGTGTCTGAGTTTGTCCTTTTAAAATACAGATCATCCTACCTTCTGGTAAGTGCAAAGATGCATGGGAGAGAATCCATGTGAAGCCCTCCCCAGGATACCTTCGAGCACAGGGCTGGGCACTGCTCTTCTGACCCATCTCCTGCCAGAGGCCGCTTATCTATTGTCTGCCTGGTACCATGAGCCATCTCGGCCATACCAGCCTGTTTCCTGAAAAACAACTCCGTGAAATGGGGAACATCACACCAATTTGAGGGACAGAGAAACACTGAGGCGCAAGGGACACTTTTGGCACCATGATATGGGCATGAGGGCTGGACATAACTCAATGGACTGAGTATTTACCTAGCACGCAGGAATCCCAGGGTTTGATCTCCCATCACCACATAAGTAATACCTGGGAGGTAGCAGCAGGTAGATTGGAAGTTCAAGGCCATTCTTGGCTGTTTAGCCAGTTTGAGACCAGCTTGGGCTATATAATAAATACCCTGTCCAGAAAGGCGGTGAGTGGGGAGAAGGGAAGGGAGAAATGGAGGGAGGCAGGGAGGGAGGAATGGAGGCAGGAAGGAAGGAAGGAAGGAAGGAAGGAAGGAAGGAAGGAAGGAAGGAAGGGATCCGTAGTTAACAGTACTGGCTGCTTCAGGGGCTCCAACACTTTTGGCCTCTGAAGGTTCCTGTACTCACATGCATCCTCACATAATTAAAAATAATAAAACTAGGGGCTGCAGTGACGGCTCAGTGGTTAAGAGCACTGGCTGCTCTCCCAGAAGATGGAGATTTGGTTCCCCACAGGGCAGCTCACAGCCATCTGTAAGTGTGATCCATTGCCCTCTTCCAGCTCCTACAGTTACCAGACATTCATATGAATGAGGTACACACACACACACACACACACACACACACACACACACACACACGTGGGGAAAACACCTATGCTCTTTAAACAATTTAAAAGTCACAGTAATAAATAAATCTAAAAGGAAATAGGTCACACAATAATTCAAGTATCAGGGAGTCACTGACTGAGGATGGGGGGCAACCCAATTGTTCCCAATCTTCAGGTCTGTGGAGCTGATTTTCAAGGTCATGGGGACTTGGGCATCTGTCTGGATATTTTTGATCCCTCTCTAGAATCATTCAGGGTCTAAATAAAGATTCAGGACGTGGGGAGCTGTGGTGGGGGCCCAAGTCCCTCATACTAACCAGCTCCTAGGTCATGTTGTTTAGGGCAAAAGGCAAGAATTTTTCGAAAGTGGCTTATGGGATGGCTTACTCATCCACGGACTTGGTAAATCTGCAGCCTGGCAGGGCTGTTGGGAGTTGGAGGAGATGATGTCTGCAGATCCTCCGAGCATGGAGCCAGAGTGGTGGAAGGAACCCAGTGTCTGCTGTTCTGGCTACTGTTGTTAGTGTGGCTGTGGGCTCCAAGCCCACAGTGAAGGCAGATCTTGACCATGGAGGAAGGCCTTACTGACTCACGCCCCCATCTCAGGATGCTTCCCGCCTCCACCTCCTCCCACCCCAGGAAGAAACAGCAGGACACAGGCTGCCATCTCCTATGGCAACCATGAATTTCACATTCAATTTCTCCATCAAATCCATAGGCACACCCAACCTGACCTTATTTTAGTTCCTAAATCTAAACAGCATAGGCCTTCATGGCAAGCCTTTGAAACTCTTTCCAGGCCCAGACCCCTTTCACCAGCTGCAGCATGCCTTGTCCTTTCCTGATTCCTGGTGTCACTGCCTCTGATCTGTGCATACCTGAGACACAGGCAGCCCATGGTCCTTATGGGTGGTGGGTCCAAGTTCAAAGAAGAGACTTACTTCCACCTGAGATCTTGAATAAAGAGGCATTCTTGCCTTCTAGGAGCCTCAATGTCTTCATCTCTAAAATGGGTTGATAGGGCCTGGGGTGATGGCTCAGTTGTCATGGTGCTTGCATGTGGACCTTAGTTCAGATCCCCATCGCCCATGTCATAAGCCAGGCATAGTGGCCTGCATCTGTGACCCCAGCACCCCCTGAATGTGGGTGTGAGACTGAGTGAGGGTGTAAGTGTGATGGTGTGTGGCAGTGTGAGTTATGATGGGTCACTGCATATGTGTGTGTGAGATCAGTTGTGTGTGATTGTACGTATGATTTTGTGCGGGAGAGTGTTAGTAATTGGGAAAGTGTGAGAGAGTATAGTGTGGGTGCGTGCGTGTGTAAGTGTATGAGAGTGCGATTTTGTGGCAGTGCATAAGTGTGTAAGAGTATGTCAGTGGCTGCATCCCTGTGACTATGTGAGTGGGATGTGAGTGTGTATGATTGTGTAAGAAGTGTAAATGATTGTGTGATTGCATGTAGTTCTGTTGAGTATGCTTGTGTGAATGTGTGAGAGAGTATGTGTATGTTTGAGTGTGAGAGCATGTGTGGAGGGAAAGTGTGTATCACTCTGTATGTGTAAATTCATATCACTGTGTATGTGTAAATTCATGTCATTGTGAGTGTATGAGACTATGTATACATCTAAGAGTGTGTACATGAATGCATATAGATGTGAGTTTGTGTGTGAATTTGTACATATGTAATACTCTGAGTGTGTATCACTGTAGCTATGTGCTGTCATTTGAGTACGTGTAAATGTGCATTTACACATATGTGTAATATGTGAGAGTGGTAGTGTGACTGTGATCATGCGTGATTGTGAGTGTGGTTGTTTAACAAAGTGAGTGCATATGTGCTAGTGAGAGTCTATGTGTGAATGTGTGTGTATTAGAGGGTGTTTGTATGAGTATGGATATGTGTTTGTGAGTGTGTATGAAGGTATGTGTGAGTGTGTGGTTGTGATTTATGAGTGTGTTTGTGAGGATATCTATAAATGTCTGAGAGTGTGATTCAATAAACATATATGTGCACTCGCACATGCAAGTGTGAGGGTGAACATGAATGTTGAATTTTGTGTGAGTGTATAAGTATGTGAGCATGAAGGAGTTTGAATCTTTTTTGTTTCTGTGTGTAGCCATGGCTGTCCTGGAACTTGCTCTGTAGACCACATTGGTCTACGAGCTCACAGAGACCCATTTCTGCCTTCTGAGTGCTGGGATTAAACCTGTTCACTATTACCACATGGCAAGTTTGAGTCTTAATGTGAGTATGTGAGTGTGTGAGTTAGTGTGTATGACTGAGTGTGAGTACATGTGTGCGAATGTTTGAATTTATGAGGGCTTGAGAGTATTGAGACTGCGTGTGAGTGTGTATTTTGAAACTATCTCACTGTGTAACCAAGGCTGACTTTGAATTCACCCGCCTCTGCCTCCTTAGCGCTGGGATTACAAGAGTGAACACTCACACCTGACCCATTCCAGCATCTTAAGACCCAGGTAGGGCGTGTTCAAGGCCCTGGGTTCGGCTACCAGGACTTAAAACACTCAATCAGTCAGCATGGTGGGCAGGCCAGGCAATGTCCAGCAGCCAGGAAGCCACCCTGGGATGCAGAGTACCCGGGGGACAGCACATGTCCACATGAGCTTGTCCACAAAACACCCCTGGATGAGTGTGGAGCCCAAAATCACTGCCAAGGCATGCTAGAATCTTCTGGGTGAGATGTAGGAACCTTCATCAGACCTCTTCCACATCCAGTCCAGCCTGCTGCCCTGAATTCCAGTGCCTTCTAAACCATACCATACACTCTGGGCCTCAGTCTCTCCATTGGCCAAACCAATATCAATTCATCTCTGATCTTGGCACCCCAAAGGCCCACACCTTCTCTCGTGTATATGGGCACATGGAGGCACGCATGTGTACATCAAGAGGGTTCAGGTCTTCCAACTTCCATGTTTCAATGTTTCTCTAATGCTCCCCCCTCGTCCTCCGCACCAACCTTCCTCAGCCCTGGGCTCTCTGTTCACCTACTATGGCCACCAGGGTTGTGGCCTCCACCTTGGGAAAGTGAGCTGGGCACAATCGGGGCCATCGGCTGCAAAGCTGACTACCCAGGATGGGCCTGTTGATCTGTGCGGCATCCATCTGAGGGCCCTGCCTTCCCCCGGGGCCACATTGAGAGTTCTCAATTTATCCTGCCTGAGCACACGGGAGACCAGATTGGTGTCAGGCAAGCACATCCACAGAAGCCCAATATAGACTTCCAATTATCTTTTAATTTCACTTCTGTCTTCCTCTGTTCATTTCAGTTTTCTCTAAACAGAGCCCTTTAAAAAAATGTAATTTATGGCATTTAGGTAGCGTTTGTTCACCTGCAGATGGAATACAACCTGGGTTGGAGTGGAGCTGGAATCCTCACACTCTGAAAGAGAGGTGCTGTCTCCAGGGACCCCAGAGCCCTCTTCTTCCGCCTTCTCTGTATGATCGGTGGCTTCTGACCTTCCGGATATGCAATGCTCAGCCTGGCTTCTGCTCTTCTTCTGTGCTCTGCTCTTCCTGGAGGGCCCCACAGTAGGCTCTCCCCCTCCTCTTCAGGGTCATCTCCTCTCATGGCTGCCTTCTTTTCTCTGGTGGCCTCCCTGTCAATGAACACACATTTCAAACATTCACAAGCTGAGAGGAGGAGACCGCCATCTTGTGTCTCCCAGAGAGGTCTGTGGGTATCAGCTCTGATCTGACCAGGAGCCCACCTGATTCAGCCGATGGCCCCTCCCTTGCTGGATCTAGTTCACTAGGTCCAGGGCCACTGGTCCACGAGGAGTCAGTCCTGCAGAAGTCAGACACCTTGCTCGGGGCCTTTGGATATAACAAAGATTGGGAGAGGAGACTGAGGAAGGAAAAGCCAGTTTGGAAGGACGGAGAGCTCAGGAAGGCAGTCAAGGAAGAGCCCAGGGAGGCCTGGAATTTGACTGGACCCAGACAAGTTGGAAAGATTCCCACCAGCAAAGATAAGGAGGCCTGGCCTGAAAGAGGAAACAAAGCTGGGCACGCTAGGCTGTGACTGGGACACAACACAGAAGGATAAACTGAGGCTGTAGAGCAGAGAAAGGGTCACACATAAGCGCCTGACAACGGGGTGAGGATCCCAGGAGGCCAGCAAGGTGGCTTCATGGGTAAAAAAGCTCTCACCCAAGCCTGGAAAACTGAGTTCATTCAGTCTCAGGATTGACATGGTGAAAGGAGAGAACAGGCTGCTAGGGTTGGCCTATGACTGTCACATGCGTGCTATGGCATGTACACACACACACACACACACACACACACACACACACACATGCACACACACACAGAGTAACAAAAAAAGTATAGTTTTCCCATGAGCAGAACCAAGTTCCTGGGCCCTCAAAGTAGATCTTATTTTCACTGTTTGGTCAGAAGACATTTAAAAAGTGGAGCATGTGTGAAGGGCATCTAGGCAGCTCAGCTACTTGAGTCCTGGACACCGATGGAGGCTTATGCAGAGCAGAGCTGGGCCCAGCTCTTGCTCACTGACTTGGTAACTCCCTGGCAGCTGCAAACTCTGCACCCACCCTTGAGGACCCTTGGAGGACCCTGGTGTGTGTGTGAGATAGGAACAGCTGAGAATCACAGAGCTTTAGCAACCCCGGGGGGGGGGGGGTTCACACATGTTAATTACAACCCGAGGAGGTGCTGTCATGTTCCCTTCCCCATCACTTTTCAGATAGGGAAATGGAGGCACAGAGAAGGGAAGCTACTTGCCTGAGGTCACACAGTTGGTGAATAGCAAACTTGAGCAGTTTGGGTCCAGGGTCCACAGGGCTGATATTAAGGTGGATGTGGATGGGGGCTGCAGGGTGTTGAAAAGTTTCTACACCCAATAAGCCTCTCTGCCTATGCTATAATCCAAAACAGACCAAATCAAACCAGATTAGAAAAAGCCTTCCAGCCCCCCCCCCCTTGCTCCCAGAGAGGAGATGGGGAAAAGAGACCGGAAAAACCTGGTTTCTGGGGGGCAGTTTAAATACCCTGTGGGAGTGGTCTTCAGCATCTCTGGGAGAGGGGTCATCATTTGAAGGGCTTTCTGAGATGCAGCAGGGTTTGGGAGGAGATGGGGGGGGGGGCTTGGGTGGAACTTCCACCATAACATTCCAGATTGGGTGTATAGATGCCAGGGGCTGGGGCAAAGCTTCCACCATAACATCCCAGACTCTTTGGGTCTATGGATGCCAGGGGCTGGGGTGAAGCTTCCACCTTAACAGGTATCAGTCCTCCATGGTCCTCGTTCCCTGAGATCGGCTCATCCTGAAGAAGAGGGTTGCTCTAGGGTCTCACTTTTTTTCCTGGGCTGCTTCAACAAAGCTGGTTTCTCTTTAGTTTGTCACACAGAGGGCGGAGGCTGTCAAGGGCCAGTCAGGTGGCTTGGCTGCTGGCCCAGGCTCAGCCTCCCGCACTGCTCCCTCACTTGGCCAGTTAAATGCTGACCTTTCGGTTGGGGCCAGGACTGTCCCTGCTCTCCAGGTACCTGTGGCTCCACCTACCCCAGGAAACACCACAAAAGCTGCCTCAAGCCTCCAACCCAAGGATTTGCAAAAGAGAAAACAAACGCGCTCACACACAAAGACCCACTGCGCGTGCTTCCAGGTACCCAGGGACAGATCTTCTGAGAGCTTCCTTCCTTTTCGAATCCCTGCTGGCGCTCCAAATGCCCTCCAGCTGCAGCAGCAGACTGATCTGGAGCTTGGCCTCTGGTTAGGAGCCTCCCCCACCCCCACTTCAGGGGAGGATCCAAAGAGGCCAGCAGTGACCTTAGCCATCCCTTGTCCCCGTGCCACCTCAGCCAACTCAAACTCACCTCTGCTCCGACAACTCAGCTGGCCAGAACCAGCTAGTGACTCCCTCCCACTCCGCAGCAGGATCCAGGAACTTGCCCCTATTGGGCAATCATTAATCAGATTCTTGGCATTCCTCTATCCCTGGCCAGCATGCTTCCCACCAGAGCGGGAGCAGAGACCCAGGACTGGCACTTGGACATGCAGCTGACCAGCAAGGTGGTGCTGTCTGCAGCTGCGCTGCTCCTGGTAACTGCGGCTTACAAACTCTACAAGTCCAGGCCTGCCCCAGCTGGGCAAGCAGGGAGAGATACCAAGGGCCACAAGGCTGATGATGAAGCAGAGGGCTTGGGGGGAGGTTGCCTTCCAAGGGACTTCTCCAGGGACCCTGCCAAGGGGGCCAAGACGCAGGAAGGCCAGCAAGGGGGCCGGAGCCCCACTGGACTGCAGCTTGGAGGACCCAGGAGACTCCTGCCAACTGGTCACCTCCAGATCTGGGGAGTCCACAAGAAAAGGCTCTGATGAGAATCAGGAAGGGCAGCGCCCAGAATCTCAGCCTGTGCCTCCTCCCTGCAGTGGCCAGGAAGCCGGAACAGCTGTTAGAGGTAAGCCCAACCCTCCCCCCCTCCCTCATCTGGGCTGTGAACCTACAAGCTCCCCAGCTAGACTTGCCCCAGGAGTGGGCGGCAGCTGGGTGGGTGACAAGCTCTCTCCATGGCCAGACGACAGACCCCCAGATCAAACAGGGTCTGAGGTCTTGGGAGCTCTCAGCTGTGGCACTGATCCCACCGTGGTCAGCAGTGACATGGACCAGAGCTGGGTCTTCACCCATGTGACAGGGGTCAATAGGGGGAGAGGCTGGTGCCCTCCAGGCTGCAGCAGACATGGGCCTGGCCACCCAGCAGCGGGAAGGAGCCACCAATGCCTCCTACACCTTCTCATCTGTGGCCCGGATCCGGATGGAGGAGAATATTATCCAGAAGGCAGAGGGACTGGGGCCCAAGCTGAAGGGGAGAGTATATGACTACTTCGTGGAGTCCACATCGAAGGCAGTCTCCAGGCCGGTCCCCTGTACAGCAGCTCTGGCTGATGCTCCATCCCCTGGGCCTGAGCCAGAGGTCACAGGAGCAGACTCCAGAGGCCAAGCTCACAATCCAGAGGGTGCCGCTGAAGTAATATCCCCACCTCCTATGCCGTCCCCCTCTGCACCAGGCTTTAGCAGAAAGGTGAGCCTCCTGCAGATCGCCGAGAACCCAGAGCTCCAGCTGCAGCCCGAAGGCTTCACGATGCCTGCTCCAGCCCACCTGGACCAGGAAGCCCAGATCAATTCAGCCTGCAGCCATGGGGAGCCCCGTGTACAGCTTGTAGCTGGGACCAATTTCTTCCACATCCAGCTCACCCCCGCGTCGGCTCAGGATGTACGCCTGGACCTGGGCAATTGCTATGAGGTGCTGACCTTGGCCAAGAGGCAGGGCCTGGAGGCCCTGAAGGAGGCAGCCTACAAGGTGATGAGTGATAACTACCTTCAAGTCCTCCGCAGCGCAGACATCTACGGAGGCCTGAGTGGGACAGAACGGGAGCTGATCCTCCAGCGGCGGTTCCGTGGCCACAAGTGCCTGGTGGTTGCCGATGTGTGTCCCCAGGAAGACAGTGGCCGTCTCTGTTGCTATGACAATGTGCAGGATGCCTGGCATCCGCTGGCTCAGCTGCCCATGGAGGTCATGTCCCAAGGTTGTGCTGTCTGCACTCTCTTCAATTATCTGTTTGTGGTGTCTGGCTGCCAGGGACCTGGGGGCCAACCCTCCAACCGCGTCTTCTGCTACAACCCCCTGACTGCAATCTGGAGTGAGGTGTGTCCTCTGAACCAGGCCCGGCCGCACTGCCGGCTGGTGGCTCTGGAGGGGTACCTCTATGCCATTGGAGGTGAGTGTTTGAACACAGTGGAGCGTTATGACCCTCGAGTGGACCGCTGGACCTTTGCCCCCCCACTCCCCAATGACACATTTGCCCTGGCGCACACAGCCACAGTGTGCGCCAATGAGATCTTCGTCACCGGGGGCAGCCTGTGCTACTTGCTGCTCCGATTTTCAAGCCAGGAGCAGCGTTGGTGGGCCAGCCCCACAGGGGGCAGCAAGGACCGCACAGCTGAGATGGTGGCGGTCAATGGCTTTCTCTACCGTTTTGACCTCAACCGCAGCCTGGGTATCAGCGTGTACCGCTGCAGTGCCAGCACCCGGCTCTGGTATGAGTGTGCCACGTACCGCTTGCCTTACCCCGATGCCTTCCAGTGCGCTGTGGTGGATGACCATATCTACTGTGTGGGACGCAGGCGGATGTTCTGCTTCCTGGCGGACCACATCTCACCCAGGTTTGTGTCTAAGGAGCTACAGGGTTTCCCTGCTGCGCGGGGCACCCTTCTGCCTGCCGTCCTGACCCTGCCTGTCCCTGATGTGCCTCAGACCCCCGTCTAACAGCCCCTCTGGTGGGCTCCATCGGGATACAGAGAAACTCTCTGCCAATCACTATGGGTAAGAAGTGGGCAGGAACATAGCCATGGGGTGGAAAGTCATCTCTCCTCCACCACAGGCTACAGGGCCTCGGAGGAGTCTTTAACACCCACAGTTCGCAGGCCTGCTACAACAGTGAAGCCAGGGCCCAGCATTCCAGGACTGTGGGTAGCCACACTCATGAGTGGCTAGTCGGCATCGAACTTCAAATCAGAATTCTGGCAGGGGCTGTTTCAGGGCCCCACTGAAACTCAGGGCCATAATCTCATCCCAGTCACAGTTCCAGGTGCCAGGGGCCCCTCAAGCTTCTCGACTTTCTGTGAGCCACCACAGACCACCTTCCTAAGCATTGGGGTCCACCTTTGAAGTTTCTAGAAGCATCTAAAGCACAGATGGGAACAACTGAGGGAGGATCCCTGAGGTTCAGCCAGAAGGATGGGCGTGGTTAAGGCTGAAGGCACCCACAGGGACACCTGTTTGCAGAGCACACTGACCGAGGCCCACTTTCCTTTTTTGGTTATCCCAAATTCTGTGTGCTGGAAGGAAGAGAAGCATTCATCTTAGCATGAGTTCTATTTGAATATTAGTCACTGCACAACTGAGGTCTTGGGAGACCGGTATGTATGTGGTTCCAGACTCCCTTTTTCAAGACCACTGCCATGCCCACTACCGCCTGACCACAGCACTCTCCCCAGAGTTCATAATCCTCTCTGCCTGCAGGCCAGGACAGCTACCACTTTTCAGCTCCTCAGGACCGCCTTCTCGGTGTCTGGTAGCCATCTTGTCTGCCTTGTCGGATGGGAAGGAATGGGAGAAGCAGGTCCAGGACGGAGCTAAGAGACGGAAGATTCTAGTGGAGCATCCAAGTCCTCAGTATTTTACATCCAGTGAGACCCAATTCCAGGAAGAATGACAGCCTGACATGACATGTTGCCCCGCCTACCGTGACGTGTTCCATTCTGAGGGAGACAAAGACATCCGGAGGAAAGCAATGATGCTCTTGGACCAGTCAGGTGTGAGTCACAGTTGGGGTGGGCCTGACTAGTGGGAGAACAACACTCCAGACTCTGTGTCCCTTTAAAGTCCTCCCCAGATCCCATGGGTGGCCATGCAGACCCCCGGGTGGCCACGAAGCTGCTGGAGCTCAGGTTGAGGGGCTTTTTAGAAGATGCAGGATTAGAATGCAGAACAAGGAGGAAGTTGGCATGGAGATGAGAAAAGAGCTTTGGTTGGACCACACAAGGTGACTCTCCCTGGCCGGGGGCCTAGGAGGAGGAAGCAGCTGAGTGATTCCTAAATTGAAAGCTGAGTGAGAAAGGATGTCTGGGCCATGGGGGGTCCCCAGGGAAGGAATCCTACCCTCTGCCAAGTCCACGTCAATACTCAGACATCAGCCTCTGAGGGACGCCGGCGCAGTGGGAGGGATGGCTTCAGTAAAGAGAGTCAAAGGCTGTTGTGGGGTATTTGTACACTGTGTGAAGATGTATTGCTGTGATTGGTGTAATAAAAATCTGAACAGCCAATAGCTAGGCAGGAGGCATAGGGGGGACTTCCAGGCAGAGAGAGAACTCTGCAAAGAAAGCATGGTCACTAAGAGAGATGAGGTCACGGGCAATGGGACAGAACATAGATTAAAACTAATAGGTTAATTTAAATTATAAGAGGTAGTGGGACAAGTCTAAGGTAAGGCCGAGCTTTCATAATTAATAATGAGTCTCTATGTCATTATTTGTGAGCTGGAGGCCCAAAGAAAAATCTGATTACAGAAAGGGGCATTGGCATGGTGGTGTCAGGCTGAGGTGAGGTGCTTTGGGAAGATACCTTCAGATCCCAAGTGCAAGTGAACCCAGGTCTGAGGGCAACCTGCAGCAATGAGCCGGACAAAAGGCAAGACCCCGGTCAAGCTGAGTAGGGTCTAATAGGGTCTAGGCCCAGGAGCCCAGGAGAAGAGGGAACACACTAGGGAAACCTTCAGAAGCCTATGGTGCACCAATGATAGGAACCTGGCAGGTATCCCAAGAAGTTACAAAAAAAAAAAGTTCTAGACCCAGTGAGTGGTGAGCTTGGTCTTTATTGAGAGGGTGTTGGGATTGGGCTGTTGAGCCCCTCCCTTATGCCATGTGGCAGACATCACCAATCAATCCTGTATCTCTTCCTGATGAGCCCTTAGAATGACTTCAGAACTATTTAAAACAGAAACCCAGCAGTCACGGCTGCCAGGTCGGAGCTGGAATGTCATCACTGACTTGCCAAGGAGCTGGTTTGGGGGTGGAAGTGGTTACAGTAACCAGGGAGTCCAGCAGAGGCACGGTGGTCAGAGTTCACTGGTGAAATGAACATGAGCAGGCTGTTTGGGCCTGGCACTGCTCTGTGCCCACGGGAACAGAGTTCCAATGGAGGAGAGAAGAGCACAGGAGGAGGAGAGACGTTGAACTCAGCACATGCAACTCCCAAGACAAGGGCAAAGCAGGCCAAGTGCTCTGATCAGGCCTCCTGATGAGGAATGGGGAGTTGCACCGAGCAGGAAGGGGAGGGTTTGCCACAAAGGATGGGGAACATAGCTGCTTCTGAGGAGGAGGAGGAGGAGGAGGAGGAGGAGGAGGAGGAGGAGGACCATCAACGGGTGGCAGAGGGGTAGAG